ACCCCTGTTACCTGTACAACCCTGTTACCTGCACAACCATCTTACCAGCACAACCCTCTTACCTGTGTACCCCTGTTACCTGTACAACCATTTTACCAGAACAACCCTCTTACCTGTGCACCCCTGTTACCTGTACAACCCTGTTACCTGCACAACCATCTTACCAGCACAACCCTCTTACCTGTGTACCCCTGTTACCTGTACAACCATTTTACCAGAACAACCCTCTTACCTGTGCACCCCTGTTACCTGTACAACCCTGTTACCTGCACAACCATCTTACCAGCACAATCCTCTTACCTGTGTACCCCAGTTACCTGTACAACCATTTTACCAGAACAACCCTCTTGACTGCGTACCCTTTTTGCCTACACAACCATCTTTACTGTACAACCCCATAACCAAAAAACCCTCTTGCCTAAACATCCCTCTTACCTGCACAAACCTCTCTACCTACACGACATTGTATGTAAATAGCACTCTTTCCTGCAACATACACAACTCTCTCACCTGCAAGAGCTTTCATTTCAGAATCTTGCAAAACGCGAGGTATCATTAATTGATTTTTCATCCAGCCGTTGAAGTAATTTTGATCTGTAAAACCAACTTTTCCAATCCAATAATTGTTAGGAGCGTAAAGAATCATGTTTCTAGTTGGCGAGGTTCCCGTTTCGTTTTTATCTAACGAACCATTAAGGTAGATAAAATAATAATAAATAAAGTCTTTTATTTTGAGAGGGTAGCACGTAATAGTCTCTAGACTAATAAACTTGTGGCCCTCTATATATTCACTCACACTCACTACCTCAACATTCATTATTTTACCACACGACACTCCTCACAGCTAGTTTTTGACTAGTTTTTTCTACAAAGTCTACCTTTGTAGACTTGACTTGCACCTCTAACGGTCGCTTTGTGTCGATTTTAAAAAAGCCGCGGCTTCCCCTCAAGATGGTACAGGGTTTCTCATAGAGACTATTTCAGCCGATTATAGACAAGTAAAGAAATAGGACACTTTCAACATGAATTCCAAGCCATGCTCACCTCAATCCGCTATCTTTACCATCCAGAGACAATTTCACAAGATAGGATTCCTTGGTTCCGAACTCCACTGACAGACCAAATGTTGTATGTTAGTATAAATCCATCGATGTATTGAATAAATAAATATACGAATAGAAAAAATTACATATTTTTACTCGATGAATTGAGGAGAGCTTGCAAAACAGTTTTGCTTTCTAATTCGCTGTGGAATGAAGCGAGGTCAGCGCCAAAGGTTTTGCAATGAAGTCGTCCATCTTCCCACGTTTTGTTTTCAGTCACGAGGACAAACACAGATGAATTGAATGTGAAAAGATTATCAGGCGAGACTGAAAGCAAAAATGAATCAAATGAGATTGATTATTCCCGCGTGTTCCTGCGCGCTCCCCAAGGGCATCCTGCAAACGACCGCGAATTGGTGATTATAATTTACCACGTACGTTCTCAATACTCACCGACAATTTCGCAGTGTTGTCCCATGGTTCCATGTGGGCAAATACATCGATGGTCATGGATATCTTCATAGTAGACACAGTGACCTCTATTACGGCAGGGCTTCCCTTGTCGGCATTTGTTCTGAACAAAAATAACATTTTTAAAAAATCGAAGTACAATATTCACCTCAAAACCAGGATAGGTCCCACCAATTTTCTCATATATGGTTCTCTCGTGCCATGAAATGGAGTCCGTAGGAATCCTGACACCGATGGAATTCGGAATTCACGGAACTGAACCAGAATGCGGTAAAACAAGAGGACTCCAAATTTGTGACTTCAAATTATAAACGAGTTTCTAACGACAAAAAAAGCTAAGAAGTTTTCGCATTCTGAATCCAATATTGTGGAATTGTGTGGAATATAACAATTAAGAAAATTGAATGGTATATCAAATGTCAAAAGTGAAGTAGCGCGCGGAATGGTGTGTCTAGGGATGTTCAAGACCGTAATCTTTTCTCTACTTCTCAGTTACCAAGGAAAGTAATAATAAACGTATCTTGTCTGTTTCGTTCTAATTCAGCTAGACTTAAAAGTTCACTCATTTTTTTTTCATTCAACTTTTCCAAAGTTGAATTAAATTAAAAATATTAGTTTTAAGGCTATATTTCCCTTTGAAAATAACTTATATTTAGAGCTGGCACTACCAGGATTATATCCGATTGTGGCGGAATTTATAGTTTAGATTAATCATGTTGCGACCATGAAGACGGCTAAGTAAAATGAAACAGCTGAAAACCAAAAAAAATTAAAATATTTATATATTTACACGGCCACACAATCTTAATATTATAACTTGTTAATCCACTATACTAGATCTTGATTATTTGATTCAAATTCGTACGAGAACAGTTATTTAGAAGAACAGACCCCATCGTCTCCTCCTGACTTGTACTGGAATTTCAAGAATAATCAAAAAATGCTCATAATTTCTCAGAAATAAACTCTCCTAACCAAAGAAAGAGCATGATATCATCGGTGTGTGACCTGACCTTACAATCTAAAAATGGCACTTATCAATCACTAATAAACCCTTTTAGCGATCTCTTTTACGCTGCGTTAGCCTCAAAACCATGTAATAAATTCTTTAATTCACTAAAAGTCCGTGCTAATGCAAGAGATCCGGAAGACAATGAAAATAGTTGTTTGATCTACATTTCTGAATATTTTGCACACAATTGAAGCTAACACAGCGTAAAAGAGATCGCGAAACTCAACTATATTGTTCAACTCACCTTTTTGCTATAATGAAGGTATGAATTGTTTTGATTTAAGTTTGCACCATTTGTGAACTGATCAGAAGAGAGAAGTTCGCAAACATGCCGTCCGTTTTCAAGAGGTGTAATCTTAAAATTAACCGAGCGACACCATTCCGTAGTGGTACAAGAAAACGCGCACTTCTTGTCGTCGCCTACTTGAATCGACTTCTGTTCCATTCCATGTGGCAGCTGTAGACGTTTGTCAGGATACAATTCATAGGGATCTACTCGTAGCCCACTGGTTGAGCTTGAGGCATGTTTTGTGCACAACAAAGCTACGAAAACGTGGATCAAATCTGGCAATGTCATCCAATTGCTTTTAGATGGTTTTATAACTTAAAATTTTGTCTGGCTCTTGACCAGCTTACATGAGATCGTTTTATCAGAGTTAAAAATTATGTCTGGCTATTATTCAATAAGTGTAGCAAAGAAAGTATATAAATATTAATAACATAAAAACATGATAATAATAACAAAGCACAAATACACTGTACCAAAAGCATTCTTTTTAAATTGTACATAACTTTGACGATTTTTGCACTTTATCATATAATTATCTATGAAATACCTATATTTCTCCATTTCGTAAAATTGATATTTTCACTAGTGAAAATAACATGTTATTTTCACTAGTGAAAGTATCACATTTGAAGTTTCTGTATATAGTGGAAGTAAGAAAAAAGGTATTTTACGACATAATTTGCTTTCATATGTAATTATATGATAAACAGAATATTACATGGTCGCTTGGAGATACGAATTTTATCTTCTCATGTTGAAAATCTTTCACTYGTGAGAGATCTTTTCAACACTCGAAGATAAAATCCATATCTCCGCGCGCCCATGTAATATCCTCTATATACTATATTATTCTTAGCTTTATTCGTTATCAAATTTGGAGAAAGACATTTAGTTCTATGACAATACTATAATTATTATTTTGTTATTAGTATATTATATTATTCATTTAGTCAAACATGTTTTCAAGAAGAATGGACGATCCGTGTAAAATACAATTTCTATTTTAAATCTGAATAAGCGCGTTTCTCTTTTTAATTGAAATCTAAAAAAAGAACTCATTACTGTATATTTTTCTTACTGTAAAAGTGTTTTTATTTTTGCAACCTCTTTTAACTCTTTTAACTACGAGTTTTTTGCTCTTGGCTGGTCTTCTCGATTCGCCGACCGGTTAGCTCAGTAGGTAGAGCATCGGACTTTAGTGTGGGAGGTCGCAGGTTCAAACCCCGGCCGGACCAACACTCAGGGTCTTAAAATAATGGAGGAGAAGTTGCTGCCTTTGTCTTTCTCCATCTGCAAATGGTAAGATCTTCTCGTCCTCTCGGATAACGACGTAAAATCGGAGGTCCCGTCTCTCTACACTTCACTCACTAACCTGTATTAGAGGGACGTTAAAGAACCCACACCACTGTTCGCATAAGAGTAGGGAATGATTCCCGGTGTGTGTGGCTAGGCCTTACTACTAACCCATACTAATTACTAACCCCTCATGATTGTAAGCCGCGTGGCTGCCAATTGCGCCTTAAAAACAGCGGTCCGTGTGAAATGATCTATACATGTGAAGCGCCTTTGAACTCAGAGGATATTGGCGCTATATAAATACCACATATTATTATTATTATTATTATTATTATTATTATTATTATTATTATTATTATTATTATTATTATTATTATTGAAATTTATTTCTTCAATGATTGAGATCCATATTATTTAGTTAATAGCCGAGCTCGCATGATTCTGATATCATGTTTACTAGTTTTGTTCCTGTGATTTGCGACTACTTCAAGCGATTCTCTACTCCTTCACTGGAAAAAATCACGCGGTATAAAGGTTGTAAATTTGATGGAAATATGATGTAAGTGTCCAAAATGATGGAAATTTGATGGAAATBATTWACATCAAATTTMCATCATTTTGGACACTTACATCATATATACATCAAATTTACAACCTTTAAAGCGCGCGATTTTTTCCAATGCTTGTCGATACTGGCAGGGAAAGTTATGTGTTTCTAGCCTTTTCTTTAGCCTAGACTCCTTTAATGGGTGGAGCCGCTTGATTTAGATTGAGGACATTTAGGCTTGTTGCTTGCACTTGCTACTTTCTGCAAATGAAGAACGATTCTTCCTGACAGTCTCTCATGCTCCATTTTTCAGGAAAGTTTTCTACTAGTGTCACTAAACCACAGTCTTTTGGCTCAGTGTTCAACTGTTTCAAGTCCTTGTAGGTCAGTGGAGTTCCRTCCGACCACTCAAGTGCCCCTTCATTTGCCTTGTCGTTTAGGCCGATCCAAGTACTCCGTCCAYCTGTAGCACAATGAAAATCAATAAATATGGCAAGCGCATTTGGTATGTTAGTATCACCAGTAGTGGTACAGCAAAAAAACATCCAAACCTGCTTTGTAATTGCTACCCTAGTTTTGTTTTATTGTTTGGAATATCATCTACTGTTTGTGCATTTCTTTATCAACCAATCGGTGAATACGTACTGCATGTCTCTCGCCAAGAGAAAACAAGCAAGTGGGAAGCGAATGTGTCTAAATTGTTGAATGAATCTGATTTTTTCTTAGGAACCACATGGCAGAATACTTCATAAGTAATATACGACGAGCTCGACTAATGAAGGAGACTCCAAATTACATGTATCAGTACTTTCGGAGAACAATGCGTCCGCCATCTTGAAAAGTGGAACTCGAATCAATAAATTATAACTCCTAAAGGAATTAAAATGCTTCTCATCTAATGCCAAGCTAACATAATACGATATAACGATAGATTAGTTGACTTAGCAACTACGAAATGTGTTCTAAGGCACAACATAKTGATTCGAGTCCCACGGATGCATCGTTCTCCGAAAGTACTTGTGCATTCCATTTTTCTCTACACGCTGTATTATATATTTAGCAGGTGTYATTCCATCAATAATTCTCTACACTGGTTTATAGTTGATTTTGACTGAGTAAAAGTCTGCAAACGCAACTTGTGATGAGGACAACCTCCTTACCTACAAGAGCTTTTATTTCAGAATCTTCCAGAATGCGTGGGACCATCAATAGACCTTTCATCCAGCCACTGAACGTGGGTTGACTCGAATAACCGACTTTTCCAATCCAATAATAGGTCGGATTATTTACCAACCTTGATTTCCCTACAGARCTCCCCACTTTGCTGATGTCTAGCGAGCCATTGAGGTAGATCTTGACTCTATGTGTATYCTTATYAAAGCTAAGGCCAATATGACACCATTGATTGATGGGAACTGACCTAAAAAAMCAATATTGTACTTTGTTTATGTATATAGCACAAATTCCAACTTTTGTTGTGGAATGTTTAACTTGGAAGTATAAAAAATAGGGCTTTTGYAACACCACTGCCACACTCACATACACCACTACAGCGCACTCACATACAMCTCCACCTCCTGCGCCACATTCATCATTATAGCACATTTGCATCAACTCCATCGCCACATTCGCATACACCTACCACCGAACTCACATACACCACTCCAGTACGTACATTCACATACAACACCACCGCCACATTCACATACACCTACCACCACACTCACATACACCACTATCAGTACATTCACATACAACACCACCGCCACATTCACATACACCTACCACCACACTCACATACACCACTATCAGTACATTCACATACAACACCACCGCCACATTCACATACACCTACCACCACACTCACATACACCA